TGCATCTCTCCATTTGTTTCTGGCTGACCAATAAAAGAGATAAAGCATTTTGATTTCAGCATCACCTGCAAAGGCCATTACACTGCCAAAAATATCATATTCAAGTCACCTGAACTGGCGAAAACATCCATGATAAGGAAATACACCACATTGTGCACGCGCACACACACACACACACACACACACACGAGGGAGGGAAATGGATGTCACTGACAGAAGATTAAACAATGAGTGACAGAATAATGACAGCTTTAGGCGCCATGTATACTTCCAGGCTAGAAAAAGATGTCAAAAACACAATTATTCTTAAAACCTAAATATGGAGAAACCAGATGGTTTTCAAAAAGTAAGGAAAAGTTAGAAAAGAGAAAGCTAAAAGAAGGGATATATTTGGTCTTGTATTTAAAAGACATTTTTATTGCTTCTTGGCCTTTTGGGTAAAATCAAGTGTAAAAGACATTTTTAAAAAGTTAAATATGGCTTCTCTGTGAGATACCAAGAATTTAAAAATCTCTTTATACGTTCAAAAAAAAAGGTAATTCTCCTGCAAGTAAACTACTATGAGTTTGTCCACAACATCTGTAATAAATGGAACTTTTGAAACACAGGAGGAAATGGGAATTGTCTGGAAAAATGACAAGGGCCCCAACACTCAACACTTTGCTCACCAAAGGACATTAAATAGGAGGAGTAAAACAAGAATTCAAGTTCTCCATGTCAGGGACACAGGCCTTTCTTCACCTCTCACAGCAAAGCGATAAACTAACCTACAGGCATCCTGGGAGAGTTCAGCCAAACTCATGGTCTTGCAAGTGGAATCCCACTTCCAGATAAAGAGAGGAGGCTGGGGTGGGAGGAGGGATTACCCAGACTTAACCACAAATTGTGAGAAATCGCTTTTTCTACTCCTACCTCCCACATACCCTTAGAAATCTAGTAGCCAGCACAAAGAGACCACGAAAGATTTTTCTGAATATTGAACACATTCCTTTTTTATCCTTTCGCAGTGTTGGTCTGTTGTACATGCATGTTGAATTCTTAAAGCAATATCCTTCCTCCTATGGAATTACTGTTACAATTTTATAGCACAGATGAATTTCCATTTCTCTTAGGAGTATACAAACAATAAATAAGTTCAATTTATTTAGAGTAAACAGATATCCTCAGTTGAATTTCTAAGAAATATTTGAAGTCTATTCCATTTGATATTAGCATTACAATATGTTAAAGCCAGTTAACACCCCCAAAATTCTGCTTGTTTTCAAAGGTAATCAGAATTTTTAATTAGCATTTTGATGCAGAGAGAAACATTAGCATTCAGTAAGAGAAGGAAATCAACCTGTAACAAAATCATGCCCCCAAATTAATTTAGACAGCTATAAATAAATAAATACATGTATAAAATTTGCCATTGTCCTATTCTGAATAAAAAAATCACATACATTTTGCCATGTATGTATTTCAAAAATGTTGAATACGACCCTATAGTTATGCGTGAGTTCAGTACAATGCCTCTTTTTTACCATCTGGAAAACATTCATTCTCTCAAAAAAAATCATACATAGAAGTAATTATTCCAGGCAAGGTGAAAATACCCCCACTATCCCTTCAAAAATCAAGCAGCATTTTTGCAGACGAAGTAAGAGACATTGAAATATGCACAAGATGGCATTCACTTAGACACAGGTTTTTTTCAGTGACCAAGAAATGGAAAACACATCACAACTTCTCCCCTTCTACATTCACAACACTGAGGCCAACTGGCAAACTGTTTGGAGGCAAACTGTTCTGTGCTGAACTGTGTTGCTAAAAGATGTGTCCAGATTCTAACCAGCAGAGCCTGTGGGCAAGACCTTCTTTGAAAGCAGTGTCTTAGAAGATGTAATCAAGTCAAGATGAGGCCATTAGTGTGGGCTCAAATCCAGTGACTGATGTCCTTATTTTTTTTTTTTTAGTGGTATTGGGGTTGAATGCAGGGCCTCAGGGTTGCTAGGCAGGCATTCTACCACTTGAGCCATGCCACCCTTCATGTCCTTATAAAAGAGGAAACTTTGGGCACAGAGAGGCACAGCAAAAAGGTGGTCATGTGAAGAGACTGGGGCTACACTGCCAGAAGCTGGATCTTGCCCTAGAAGTTTTGGAGGGAGCAGAATCCTACCTACTCCTTGATCTTGAGTATCTAAGCTCCAGAACTGCACAAGAATAAAATTCTGTTATTTTAAGCCACCCAGCTCATGGTACTTTGTTATGGCAGCCCTGGTAAACAATGTACTCCCTCAGTAATCATGTAAGAGAAAAGGAAGGAAGGAGGGAAGAAAATGTCATTTTTAAGATTTATTTAGGCTGTTAATTATCTCTTAAAGGATAAATAAGGTGGTGTACTCAGAAATCTCCTCAAAAGTTCTCTTAGGTGTCTGATAAGGGCATGTATAACCCTTCCAAATTCCACTAAAAAAAAAAAAAACCCACTTCATTATCTGGGAAAAATGCTCCTTACCCTAACAGAAAGATGACATTAAAATAACATGTAAGGAGAATAATAATGTCATTAAATACACACATCATTTTTTAAGACAGTCTTGCTAAGTAGCTCAGGCTGGCTTTGAACTCACAATCTTCCTACCTCAGCTTCACAAGTGCCGGAATTACATCATGCCCAGCTTTACAAACATATATCTTATATTGGAGAATTGCATGCCATCTGTCAACATATCACAGAGATTAAAACTTGAAAGGCAGATAAAGATAACTTGACATAACTGTTCTAGTTAAGAGTAAATTCTCTCCCTATACTCCTATGATAGAATTAAAATACTTCACCAAGTCAACAGCTCAAGTTACCCTTATATTCCTGGGCAAGGAATATAATACACATTGAAAATGGAGGCCACCACTGTCTGTACCAGAATAAGATTATACGTACCAGAATTCAGTGACCAAGAAATGAAAAACACATCACAACTTCTCCCCCTCTACAGTCTAAGAATTATATGTACCAGAATAAGATTAATTCTGATATTATTAACATATACTAATTAAACATAAACAGTATACCCTGGTATCTGGGAGAAATGATGTACTAATTCAAAATCTTATCTTAAGCCCAACAATGTAATAGAAAGAATATTTTTAACCAAAAACTGTCTTTCAGAAACCTTGACAAGGATCATAATTTAGATGAAAACCTGACAAAATATATTATCAAAAAGAAGGTGAAATTGAATTGTGTAGAAAAAAAGAACTAAAACTCCAGAACATCTTAGGCACATCAGGAAAATTCTAACATATTTGAATACAACTGCCATCATCTACTAAATTTAGAAAATTATTGCAGTTCTTCAAGTATAGAGTATTCACAAATACAATTTTTTCTTTGATTTAAAGAGTCCTGACAAGTAGAGTTGTCATGTCTAACTCAGGTTAACTCAGGAAACCTACTTTTTAGGTGGCATCAAGTAGAGCGGGCAATTAGAAGAGGCACTGGACTCAAAGTCAGGTGGAGTCTGTTGTCTGTCTTCATGTGGAATGCCAAAGTATTAGACTCTGGGCTCACTTTGGTCCATTTCATAAACAAGCGTTCTACTGCGGAATTCCCCACTCTCTTAAAAAGTCACTTCTCTCCATGAACAGATTACTAGGGTCACCCTGAAAGCCCGCAACAGTCTCCAAACCACCTTCCTTGTCAGTTAGCGAAGAGAAAATATACAATAACAGCACATCTTGTGTCCTCACCACATTAAACACATTGCTAATTGACTGTCCAAGAGCTTACCTGATAGAGCACCTGCCTGGCAAGTTCAAGGTCCTGAGTTCAAGCCCAGTACCACCCCAAAAAAAATGTTGACCCAGTAATTACATGACCACAGATCATATCTCTAATCTTGTTTGTGCCCCAACTATCTTTTTCATGGTCAATTTCAATGTCGTGGAAAGTACAATTTGGCATGAATTTCCCAGTTTTAGTAAGTAAAGAGACTGTCTATCTCCAAATAGTAGAATATTCTAACCCAGAGATGTTAGTAAGGGATAATAATCTAGCATTAACAAATAGAGCGATGTTATTAGAATACAGTACACATGAAAACTTCGATCCAAGGAAATCTGGTGGGAAAGATTCTCAATGCAGCCTATATTGAAATCATCTACAGCTGTTTTTAATGTTGATGCTAAATCCCACCTACACCAACTTAATCAGATCACTGGGAAAGGTCCTTGGGCACTGGGATTCATGAAAAGCTCTCAAGACAATCCTAATGTTCAACTGTAGTTGAGGATCACTGATATAAGCCAAGGGTCAATAGACTTGTTCTGTGAAGGGTCATATTTTATATTGGTTTTCTTATTTATCATAAATTAACAATAGGAAGGGATTTCATCATGATGAATCCATACGTGCATACAAGTTCACCCCTCCATTATATCCCACTCCTCCACTCCCTCTCCCCCCGTCTTTCACAGTGCTCGGTGCGATGTAGTTCTACCCTCTTCACCCCTCAGTATCCTTTTCTTTCACCCTCCCCCCTCCCAACAGTCTCCTCTTCACGTTCATGTAAGAGCCATAATTTAAATGTGTTAGGCTTTTTGAGCCATTTAGTCTTTATCACAGCTTCTCAAATCTATTATGGCACAGCCATGGACAATAGGTAAATGAATGAGTGTGGCTATATGCCAATACAGTTTTAATTATGCACAATGAAATTTGAATTTTATATAACTTTAAATGCAACAAGATATTATTCTTCTTTTAGTTTTTTTCAATCATTTAAAAATGTAAAAACCATTCTTAGCTTGTAGGTCATACAAAAACAACCCCTGATCTACCCTATGGATTAAACAAGTCTACTTAATCATTTCTCAAAAACATTGGCTCAGTGGCTCACTCAATCAGTCCTAGAAAAGATCCCCTTCCAAGAATGGATACCTTCAGATTCAAGCTGGTCCAAGCCGTAAGAGGCAGCTGTATTAGGGTGGCTAATGGAAGGAACTGTTCTTCTCTCAAAAGGTGCCTCAGAAACAGGAAGTGCTGGAGACACACTGGGCGAGGCCTCCTCCGTTATTCCAGGGGGTGTCACTGGGGAGCCCAAAACTGGTATGAACTCCTCATTTGGCTCTGTGACTGTGTCCATTAGGTCTGCCAAACACAAGAGACAAGACTTAACCCACAAGATAATCTTTATGGAAAATGTAAACCTGTGCCTTCATTTTTCAGACAAGAAATGATTAATGAAATCAATATCTTATTTACAATACATCAACACAGCAACCCACAGTTATCCACTTTATCATCAGGGAAAATATGTGGCTTTAAATCTGAACTTAATTTTTAAAGGTTAATCTCCCATTGCAGGATTATATATATTATATATATTATATATATTGCAGGATTTTGTATATCATCAAAGGCACAAAATACTGAACTATAGACTGAAGACTACTTTGGAAAGATCAAGTATTTTTCCCAAAAATCATGTCAAAGAATAAGAGCCTAGATATGTGTCTAGACTAGTTTAAACTTCAAGGCTCTCAGATATCACCCCAGGCATTTCCAAGTCTACAGATTCTAGAACAGCAGTAGCTTGAAAACCTGGATGATCTAGCAAGTGTGAGGTCCTGAGTTTAAACCCCAGTACTGTCAGACAAAAAGAAAGAAAGGAGTGAAGGAGGGAGGGAGGGAGGGAAGGAAGGAAAGAAAGAGAGAGAGAGAGGGAGGGAAGGAAAGAAGGGAGGGAGGGAGGAAGGAAGGCTGGTGGAGCAACAGAATCTCTTGAGACAATTTTTTAAATGTAGATTCTTATGTTTTTCACACAGCACAGCTTTCTGAATCAGAATCTCTTTGACCATGAAGTCTAAAAACTGTTCTTAATACAGAGGCACAGAGTCCCATGTATTTCTGGTGGGGGTATAAACTAGTGTAACCACTTTGGAAAACAAGATTGTCTCCTATAGTCAAACAATCAGACATCCTATGGCCAGCAATTCCATTCCTAGGTATATTCTCAGAAAAAAACCCTGTACATGCATAATGGAGAACATGTGCAGAAGTATTCATGCAGCAATGTTCACAACAGCCAAACCTGGAAATGACCCAAGTACAAATCACTAGGACAATGGATGAGGAATGGGTAAATAAACTAGGTTATATTTTCATAATGGAATAGTATACAATGGTCAAAACAAAAGAACTACAGGAAGTATGTTTTAGAAACTGAATATTAAGTAAAAATTTTAAGCCCCCAAAAGTTCATCCATAGTACAGTATTTCCCCTATAAAATTAAAAACAACTAAGATTTTAAAATGTGTAACTTACAGAAATAATATAGATGCAATAAAACATTTTTTTTTTTTTTGCAGTACAGGAGTTTGAACTCAGGGCCTTCACCTTGAGCCACTCCACCAGCCCTATTTTTTGAAGGGTTTTTTGAGATGGAGTCTCACGAACTATTTGCCTGGGCTGGCTTTGAACTGTGATCCTCCTGCTCTCTGCCTCCTGAGTAGCTAGGATTACAGGTGTGAGCCTCCTGCACCCAGCAAAACTTACTTTTTAAAGGAAGCAAAGACAATTAGGAAAACAAGATTCAGGATGATGGTTACCAATGAGAAGAGAAAGCTAACATGGAAAAGATCACAGGATTTCATGAAGGTTAATGTCAGGGCCCTAGCTTTTTGTTTTGTTTTGTTTTGTAATGTTTGGGGGTAGCAGTGGGAGGCAGGACTAGAAAGTATTTATAACATTGTTTAAAATAACTTAGCAAGTGCACACAAAAGTAGGCCTTACTTGGGCCAATGATGAGACAGAAATATGAGGCCCAAAATAATTTTAAATAGTTTTTTTTTTTAATTCCCAAGGGAGGGCTGGCAGGTGGCTCTAGTGGTAGGGTTAACACTAGCAATCATGAGGCCCTGAGTTCAAACCCCAGCACCACCTAAATAAATAAATAAATAATAAATTCCCAAGTGATTCTGAATAATCAACCAGATTTTAAAACGCCATTGCCCTTAAGATACAAGAGGATTTGAAGACCTACTGTATAGACAGTACTCCATACACATTATTTCAAACCTTTCAAATAACCTGTAAGACAGGTAGTCATTATTTAGAAATGACCAAACCAAGTTAAGAAACTTGCTTGAGGCTGCAATCCTCATGACAGCCAAAGTAGGGATTCAGACCAGGTCCTTGCTGCTTTCACCTCCCCACCCTGGCTCCCAGTAGAACTGCAAGGGGGAAGTCCTCAGGGGAGCTGGCCTCAGTGATCTAGAGACAGGCCACCAGGAGACCTTACTAGGCAACTAAGCTCTCATCCTTTCAGGCTGCATCATGTCTCTGCAAACAAGAGAGAGTTCACCCACCTTTCCAGGCTAGCTGTGTGTGGTGTGTGTGTGTGTGTGTGTGTGTGTGTGTGTGTGTGTGTGTGTGTGTGTGTGTGTGTATGGACCTGTGCACGCACTCTGCTGACAGGGCCACCTGCCCCATTTATTTTATTGCTTACAGCCTACAGAAAACACCCACCCTCAAAACACTGAGTCCCGTTCCCTGCTTTACAGACCTTCCGCAGGACTGACTTCAAGAGACCAAGGGACGACTGTAGCAGAAGCTGCAGTGGCCAGGGGCTCCCATCTTCTGGACAGCTGAGTGACACCAGCACCATCAGACACAGGAGACGGGGACTCCTTGCCTTCCTCAGGCCCACTGTTGTCTCTGGGAACCTCAATGGTGGCCACCTGCTCTTGTGTCACCAAGGGTAAGGTTCCTTCTGGTTCTTCCACCAGTGTTGTCATCTCTTGAGTGATGATATCTTAAAAGAGGGGAAAGATTTTAAAATAGAACAAATCCCTATACTTTAAAATCAAATCTCTACACTTTAATGAGTAAGTTGGGGAAAGACACAGCTAATTCAGAGATTGGAAAAACAGAGAACTCAGAAATAAAAGGACAGTAAACAAATGTCACTGTTGAGCATTTAAGAGTTTTGGATCAGCCGGGTGCCAGTGGTTCACGCCTGTAATCCCAGTAACTCAGGAGGCAGAGATCAAGAGGATGTGGTTTGAAGCCAGCCCTGGGCCAGTAGTTCATAAAACCTATCTCAGAAAAGCCCATCACAAGAAAGGGCTGGTGTGGAGTTGCTCAAGAGGTAAGGCCCAGCAAGTTGAGGCCCTGAGTTCAAACCCCAGGGCAGCCAAAAAAAAAAAAAAGAAGAAGAATTAAAAGAATTATGGATCAGAATATAAGATAGAAATAAAGAAATTAATGTAAAAAACTAGAATAAAATCCAAAACAAAGTAAGAATACCAATGGCTAAGCTTGTTGTACAGAACTAAGCTACATTAAAAAATTCCTCAGAAGATATGGTAACATATGGTAACATATGGATATGGTAACACATGCTTGTAATCCCAGCACCTGGGAGGCAGAGACAGGAATATCTCAAACAGAAAACCAGCTTGGGCAACACAGCAAGATCCTATCTCAAAACAAAACAAAAGATTCTCAGAAGCATTTGTATTTATATATATATATTAATTTTCATGTTTACATATTTTCACATTCTGAAGAAGAAAGGAACATTATAATTACAATAACGAATGTTTCCTGAGTTTCTTTTCTGTACCATGCACACAGTACTAGCTGCACAGAGGGCATTGTCTTATTTTATCCTCCCATATGTACGAAGGGGAGGGGATGCTAACATCATTCCACCGAAGCTGCAAGGCTACAGAGCCAGTTTACCTGTCTGAATTCTGACTCAGCCACTCTCTAGCTCTCTGATCCTGAGCAAATTACTTAACATGTCTTAGCCTTGAGTGTCCCCAACTACAAAATGGGGACAATAGTATTCTCTATCTCAGAGTTCTCACAAAGACTAAAGTAGGTAACATATGTAAAACACTCAGTACACACCTGATACTTGGTAAGTGTCCAATAAACATCAGAACAGCTTAGGTTTAGAAAAACTAAAGATCCTGCTAAGGGACATGGTCAGCATGCTGACAATGCCCTGGAACACCAGGGACGCCTCTCAGGTCTGCTTTTGCTTTTAAATCTGGAAAGGGAGGGAAACAGAGAGGTAGAGGAGCCCTTATCTACACAGGCCCACCTTCCTTTTGGCATTCTGCTGTGCCCAATACACTATCGAAGGCTATTTACAAGGATCAAGATTTGCCATCTTCTTAGGAGGGTCTATGCTGGAAATTTCAAATACTGACCCATTTTTAAAATCTTAATTTGGGGGCTACTGTCTGCCTAGCAAGCGTAAGGCCCTGAGTTCAAACCCTAGTACCACTAATATGTATAAATTTCTGTGTCTATACAGAGAGAAAGAGAGAGACACAGATATGTATGTATGTATGTATATACTATATACATATATACTATATATAGTATAGACATATGCATACATACATATACACTAGTTCTAGATACATAGCATATTAGCAGGTACAGTAAATTATAAGCAAAAAAATAACATTCTAGGGACAGCTGAAGTTTCCTCAAAGTTTCCATTAATGACATCATGGTATCTTATTACTGCAAAATGCTTTTCCTTGAAAACAATTTATTTGCTTTAAAATTTGTACTTTTCAGTAAAAACTTAATTCTTTTTCTTGGCACCCATCCATTTTGGGCTGCTTTTTCTTTGAATTGAAGAAATTTTTACATCTGATAGGACAATACATCTGGTTGTAGGACAGAGAAAACCAGGGGAAGGTTTTTGCAGGAACTTCCTATTTGCTCTTTATCCCATGATTTAAGTTTTCCTGTCTTTTTTCCCTTTTTTCAACAAGACTGTAACTCTCCTGAGAGCCAGGATTCACTGCCCTTTCATATCTCCAGCACCTGGGACTAAATTCTGTTTGCTACAATAAGACAATAATATATCATTTTGTCATTTTAAGCAGTATGTGTTCTCCATGTTGTCCTAATTTTCAAAAGCATAGTGAAAAAATATGTTAAAAAATAGTTTTATGTTCACAGTTTTATGAAACAGCAGAGATGTCAAAATACATAGCATCTTGAGTAAATGATGGCTGGTAGAGAAAAAAGAGTGAGAACTAGAAATAGTAATGGACTTTTAAAAACAACATTCAAATTTCCCAACGTCTCTCACTCTTCCTATTTCCTATAGGAAAAATGGATATAATATTCAGTATAGATTATTTTTAAAACCCAATCTTCAAGTGAACCATCTAGGCAGGCACTGTGCCATTTGACCCATGTCCCCAGCCCTTTGAGACTCAGTTACCTGAGCACAATTTTTTTTTGGCAGTATTAGAGTTTGATCTCTGGGCCTTGGGCTTGCTAGGCAGGCACTCTACTGCTTGAGTCACTCCCCCAGCCCTCAAAAAAGCCATCTAAAGAACTAGCTGTATCAGAGGACTGACCACAATCTCAGATACTCATCTGTCAATAATATCCAAAACACCAAAAAATCATTGTTGAAATCATCCTGAAAAAACATAATATCCTCTGTGGTCCTTAAAATGATTGACACTTGAGTTCTTTCCTTCAAGAAAAAATGTTTATAATTACCAGAAAATAAATATAAAATTTTTTTATTATTCTATAGCTACTATTGTCAATTATTTCAATCTTTCACATTTTCTTGAACTCTATGGGACCAAAAAATATAAAATGAAGGGAATAATTTGACTGTTCCTCTTTCTATAAAGAATATAGAGAAACTGTCTAATTAATTGGACAAGATAGGCAATCATATTGGATGATCCCAGGCTAAGTGATTCTCTGTCTTCATTTATTAATGCATTGCACTGGTATTTCTTGAACACACCAGGTATTATGCTATATGCTGTGAATAAAAAGAAGTCATCTGTTGAAAGTCTGATAGTTAAGTGAGGCAATTATGACTGAGATGCATATTCAATAATCTGATAATTATCAAATCAATTTCACTTTGTAGCCTGTATGTGTAAAAGCTAACACAAGACTAGAACATAGTAATCATGGATTCAATTGTGGAGTGCATAATCTAGGTCTATATGACTTACTACTCCAGAAATAGCAATGAAATAAACTTCTTGCTCAGTCATATCAAAAATCTTTATGGTTATGTGAACCCAACTTACTTAATGTTACTTAAAGAACAACTTACAAAACATTTTCTGGAAGCTTCTATGAAAATTTACTGTCTATTAGGCCTGTCAGTGTTTAAAATGAGTTAAACATGAAAATTCAATCTTCCTTTCACCACTTATCAAATGATCTCTTACCATGTTAAGTAAATTCCAATAACATACAAATAACAAACATACAAATTTGATGTTTTCCATTAATCAGGCTACTTGACTGAATATTGTGTTGTATGTGTTCCAATACAACTAGAAATAAGCAGATATACTTTATACAAAGTTTTTCCTTTCTGACGCTAACTAACGACACATAATAAAGAAAAACGTTATTCAACAACAACAAATGTAAGGCTCCTCAGCTTGTAATATTCATAGATGCAAAGGCCAAGAAAAAGGAGAAAATGCAGAAGCAAGTCAACAGATGATTTATCTTTTTTCACCTCCTTATTTATACCTGATTTGTTTTGGAGTAAATAAAAGTCAGAAAGCTCATATGGTTGATACTATGAGATAAATATTTACCTAAAGCTTTTTTTGTAAGAAATATCTAAAATCAAGTATATGTTACAACAATGTATAACATATTATTTACTGTACTACTTAAACATATAGCTATTTCACATTTTCTTATACATTCATATATTTTCATAATAAAATAGTTGAAAAATACTCATCTATATCAGGGTTTCTTGCCCTCAATGTTACTGACATGCTGGCTTAGAACAATCACTTGGGGGGGGTACTGTCCTATGCATTACAGCATGTTCCCTGGCCCCTACCTAGTAGATGCTAGCAGCAACCTTCAGTTGTAATAAAATGTCTCCAACCATGTGCTGGTGGTTCGTGCCTGTAATCCTAGCTACTTGGGAGGCTGTTAGGAAGGTCACAGTTCAAGGCTAAGCCAGGAAAAGAGCTCACAAGACCCCCATCTCCAAAAGAACCCAAGCAAAATGGACTAGAGGTATGGCTCAAGCAGTAGAGTGCCTGATTCAGTGCCCTGAATTCATACCCCAGTCCAACAACAACAACAAAAATGTGTCCAAACATTGCTAAATGTCCCCAGTGGAAGATCACTGTTTGAAATGCATGATTTATTTGAATACTTTTGCTTTTCATTAAAACTTTAGTACCTATTCTAAATCACCATTTAAAACAAAATAAAATTAAAAGATTCCAAATTCAGGAGAGCTTTCCTCTTTCTTTTTTCTTTTACCTTTCAATAGTTGATATGCCTCTGACTCATGTTCAGACATGGAAACAGTAGTCTCTGTGAAAAACCTGGCACCATTTTCCTTGGTGGATTCCATAGAGCCTCCTGTACTTTGGAACACACTCACAATGGAAGCTTTGGTATCTTCCATCAGACTCGTGGGAGTAAAGGAACTTGGATGGGTGAAGGCAGGTGATGTCTCATCCCCTTTCGATAATAGCAGAGTCATCCCCATGTGTGTTCCCCCTTCAGCCTCTGTCCAAGGTTGGTCCCCTTCTGTCCTGTAAAGGCTTACATGTGCTGTCTGTGAAGGTTCTATTCTCTCCTGAGTCTCTGTATTGTCTCGGAGCTGTGGGGTCCTTATCTGGCTTACACGTTCTAGTTTGGTGTCATCCCACTCATTACTTAAGACAGAGGCAGCTGGAACAGCTGTGCTGTCACTCACTGTGACTTCAGGGGCTCCCAGCAGACTGTCAGTTTCTGACTCAACACTCAGAGTGTACTCTGGCAAGTGCTCAGTGGCAGTAGCCTGGGTGTTATCGGCTGTCATCTGTGAGGGCTTCTCCCCATCAGACAGAAGGCTTGCAGGCTCAGTGTCTGCTGTGGACTCAGCATCATCAGGAAAAGAAGTGGTCCTCTGGTCTGTGTCTGTTTCAAATTTCTCAGGTCTTGGATTAGTGGCTAGCATTTCTTCAGTATTTATATAGGAGGAAGGTGAATGTCCCAAGCTAACTCCTTCCTGACTTTCAGTTGCAAACAACTGACTATCCACATACTTCGGAAAACCCTGTGTTGCATCTGTGGTCCCTTCTGCAATGGGCTGAACGCTGGTACTGCTAACGGGTTCTTTCGTGTCATCCACATTCAGAGAAGTCAGTGCAGTGATACCAGTAGTTAACAGGACATTGGAAAGTCTGCTTTCAGGAGACATTCCCTCTGACTGGCTGGAACCAAACACTTCTTCACTGACTGGAACCACTGGCTCAGTAGCAGTATAACGACTAGGGCTGTTAGGCTCTGGCTGGGTTTCTTTATTAACTGAGAATTCTGTATTTAATGGCGTCACTGATGGTCCAGCTGACACTATTATTGGATCTTCAGAGACCATGATTTGGGGCATATGCGTTAGAATGATGGAACTGTTTTCTTGGTCATCTACGTTTGTACTCTCAGTCTGCTCTTTTTCTGCACGATCATGTTCTATCTCCCTTCTTTCCATTTTGGGGAAGGCCAGACATTGTGTGGCAAAGCTGAGGAATAGAAGGCTACAGAACGCCAGACAAATGTGTAAAACAATTGATCTACTCATAGTGGAAGAGAAATGTGCATATAAACTGGCAGAGGTGACAATTCCAGTAATCGAGTCCTGCAGAAAAATAAAGCATATCAAAATGTTGTGTAAATATATTTTGTCAATAAGTTCCTTTAAATTAAACCATAAGTAAAATAATCTCGTTGACTTCATACACAGAGAAGGTAGGTAGGAGATGACTGTTCTATTTCTTTGTACCCTCGAGACGTAGTTAACCCAGTTCATTTTTCCCTGCTGAATTTTGCAGCTGATTTAACTTGAAGCTCCTTAGAAAAAGGTACACATAGTTCAAGTACTAAGTTTATTGTTTCTTAAACACCTACTCAAAATAAACTACCCTTGAAGTCACATTTGCAATATTCTCTGCAAATTCCTCTATTATTCACGTAGTCAAACGATAGCAGAAATGGCAACATGTCCAGGATGCAGACAGTAAATGTCACACAGTCATTCAAATAACTTTTAGAGTGTTTCCCTGGTCTAAATGTCTATGTTCCTCAGAATTCTTACGATGAAATCTAATCATCAATGTGATGGTTTTAGGAAGTAGGGGGGTCTTTTGATAATAAGATCATGAAGGCAGACCCCTGATGAGTGGGACTAGGGTATCTATGAAAAGAGTCCCCAGAGAGCCCCTTACCCTTACCATGTGAGCACACATGAAAAGCTGCCTTTTGTGCTCTGGGCCTTAACCATGCACCAGTCTTCAGAACTGTGAGAAATACTTTTTTTTGGTGCTGGAGAATGAATACAAGCTCCTCACTTTATGATATTTTGTTACAATGGACTGAGACAAGTGTGTCCAAATGGGCTATAACAAGTATGTTTTTAATGTACTAAATATCATCTTATGACTGAATATTACAGTTATATGCTTGTAATCTTAGTTACTCAGCAGGTAACAAGGTTCAAGGACAGCCCAGTGGAAGAAACATTAACAAGACCTCATCTCAAAAACCAAACTGGAGATGGTGGTTCATGCCTACAGTCACAGCTACATGGGATGTTAGGAGGATCACAGTCCAAGGCCAGCACCAGGAAAAAGCATGAGACCCTATCTGAAAAATAAACTAAAAGAAGAAATGGCTACAGGCATGGCTCAAATGGTAGAAAGCTTGCCAACCAATCCCTGAGTTCAAATCCCAATATCACCACAAAATAAAAAGCTTAAATCATTTCTTATTCTCTGCAAAAAAATCATAAACAAAACCTTCATGCTTCATAATTTAAGAATTAAAAAAGTTAAAAGACTTAAGCAATATAAATATATGTATTTTTAGAAAAAAAATTTAAATTAGCAATCTCTACTAAATATCCATTATTGTAAGGTTAAGATCCACTGTATTCTTTAAAATAAACTATTCACATTCTCATTACAACTAAAACTATATTAAAATTGCTCATTTTTCCAAAATTTAAATGTTTTAGTTCTTTTTCTCTGAGTAGGGTCCATTTTCCCATTATTGGAAATTTCTCAAATTTTTGATCTCCAATAACAGAGAGAGAGAGATTCTCAGAAATAATGCTACAGGCTTTCTAGAAAATTAAACCTAGGAATTAAAATTCTAAAATAAAAACCTTTTCTTTATGAAAGCTATCCTTTTCCTTCCTTTCATGTGAAATCATTAAACTCTCTAAGTTAGGCACATGATAGACACTTGTGAAATGCAGAAATTCACATTTTCATGGGGCCCTCTCCTCTTAAGAATTTCAAAGCTTTCCCATGTTATCCCATTTAGTCTTAAAGGTCCTTTTAAGGCAGAAAAAAAGGTCAAATTCTCAGGGTAGGCTCTAGAAAGCTGAAGACCAAAAGAAAACTGGGCTTTTTTACATGTAGGGGTAAAAAAGAAATCCATAGACTGAAGCCAAGGCCTCCTACTAATAACCAGCACCACAGGAGCAAGCTATCTCTCCTAAGATCAACTTTTTAGAATTTTTATTAATGTACATTGACTGTAGAAAGCTGAGTGAGCTGTCTTGGGTTTTGATTGTTTTTTGTTTGGGGCAGTTACTGGGGTTTGAACCCAGGGTCTCATGCTTGCTAGGCAAGCACTCCACCACTTGAGCCATTCCTCCAGCTGTCTGAGTGAGCTATCTTGAAAGCAGAACTTTCAGCCCCATCAAGTTTTTTCAGAGAGGCTGTGAGCCAGAACCACCCACCTAAATACTCTCAAATTCCTGGTGCACAGAAATGCCATGAAACTGTAAAGATTTATTATTACTTTAAGCCACTACATTTTGGGGTAATTTGTTACACAGAAATTTTGAAACCACAGAGCTTTGGGGAAATACAAGAACAGAATGTTGTCATGAGCTGTCATGACACTGCAGGCAGAAAAGCAACAGGATTATCACAGACCACAAAGTTAGCAGTGAAAGAAAATTGAAGCCAGAGGAGACAAGCAGAAACGTAAGTCCCCCGAGAACTCTCGAGGTTGTGAGAAGGATGGTGTCTCCCCAAATGTAGAATGGGGGTTTGAAACAATTATATTTCAATATTAAATTAGCTGGGCACAGTGACTCATACCTGTAATCCTAGCTACTCAGCAGATCGAGATCAGGAGGATAGAGGTTTAAGGCCAGCATGGGCAAAAAGTTCATGAAACCCCATTTTAACCAACAAAAGCTGCGTATGGTGGCATATGCCTGTCATCCCAGCAACATGGGAAGCATCAACAGAAGGATGGAGGTCCAGGCCAGACAGGGTTTAAACATAAGACTCTATTCAAAAAATACTTAAGGCAAAATGGGATGGGTGCATGACCCAAATGGTAGGATGCCTGCCTAGCTAGCATAGGGTCCTGAGTTCAAACCCCAGTACCACCAAAAAAAAAATTAAATAAATAAATATTAATTTATATACAAGTATCCAGTATCATCATATTTTTTATTTATTTATTTATTTTGGTGGGATTAGGGGTTGAACTCAGGGCTTCGTTGCTTGTAAGGTACTTGCAAAGCAGGCACCATAACCCTTGAGCCATCCCTCCACTTCATTTTCCTCTGCTTATTTCGGAGATGGGTTCTTGCAAACTGTTTGCCCGGCTGGCCTCAAACCTAGATTCTCCTTATCTCAGCATGCCAAGTAGCTAGAATTAAGGCATGAGCCACCAGCACCTGGAACTAACAGCATTTTAAAAGGAGAAAAATTGAAAAGATAATTGAGAAAGAAGGAACAGCATGTGTCAAGCCGTGTCAACATTTGGCGTCACTATACTTTAAATGTGCCAGAAAGCATTTAGCTCTTAGCCAGGTAGCACATCACTGTACAGTATTTGGCTTCATGCCTCTATTTTCCTTCTTAAAAAAATTTTTTAAAACATATGAGAGTTTTGAAACAAAAGTGTCCTAAATGAAACTATAGTCAATAGTTTCATTTATATTATATTAGTTTATTTACATTATAATAGTTTCATAGTCAATGCAACTATTCTTTTGTATTTCTGTACAGACAAGTTGAGCTATGAAATCATATCGCTATATTAGAAGAGACAAAAAACTATAGAACTCTCTGGTTTATTTTGGATCTGCTCAGTATCCATCCATTCCTGAACAAATACTTTTTCCATTCAATAAAATCTTACTAAATATCCCAGAAAATAGAAGGTGTAGTCTAAAGGCTTGGTCTACACTCTCCCATGCCTCTGGATACAACCTGGAAAACTCAGGTCATCATGAATGGTAATGGAGTTCAGAAGGACAAGAATGGTATCTGAAAAATGATTTCCAAATTTTAGCTTTTTTGTTAAAATTTGCTATGTGATACTGGACAAAGAGCTTCAGTTTCTCCTTTGACAAAATGAGAAGTTAACAAAATAATCTTTGAAATCTCCTCTGTCTCCATGATTCTATTTCCATATCCCACTTATATGGCATAAGATAAAAACACTAATATTTCCACAGTCCCACGATCTTGCCATCAAGTCCGGGAAGCCCCCAAATGATTGGGTGGGTGTTGCACATTGTATGTTTTGTCGTCATGTGGTCTAAGAGGATCATTTTATGAGCAAATCGGATTTCCAGAAAAGGGAACAAAGAATGAAGGTTTAATATAACCCCAATTGCCTTTCCAAAACAGAATTTTCCTTCAAGGTCTTTTTTTGCCTATGTCTTGAGTTTCAGAATTTTTGTGTGAAGGGAATTCTGCCATGGCTCTGAAAGACTTTCCCTCTGTGATTAAGTGTCGGCCACCTGCTTTCTAAATCCAATTACAGCAGAAAAAGTGGGGGTGAACCACCAGCCTTTTCTGTGTTCTGTATCGAGGCCATATGCGCCATCTCCCCACTATTCAAGGCAATGCCTGAACTTTAAAAGAAGAAAAGGCAGCCTGTAAGAACAGCAGCAGGGAACAGATCTGCAGCTCAGCTCAAATAAATTGGTAATGACCTTCAAGTTCCAGATCCTTCTTCATCTTTCAAAGCTCAGAGCAGGTTCACACTGCCACTCTCCTGAGTTTAGCATCCCACAATGGGAGTTGTATGACATTAGAAAATAAAATGGAAAAGGATGATCATTGTCAACTCAATGACAATGATCCTAAATTAAATAACCATCTGCAGCCATATTTTGTAGGTTATGGGCCTTTTCTATTTTCCTCAACATTGTATCCCCTACGTGGCCAGTACAGAGGAAATGCTCGGTAAATATTGGCTGAACAAACACATGAACGTCTAAGTCTGCTGTGCTTGGGAGAGGGAATGAGCGAAGATGTCATTGCTTTTTAGAGTTCTGTGTCATATATTAAATTAACTCAATCATAAGAATATTTAACAAGAGAATACTTCTCTGACTTTTCCCTCATATTGCATCTTTAGGTACTGCTTACTTTTCACTACATGTCAATGCCATTTAATTCAGATAAGTAAACTCTAACCAAATTACTAACTGATAGTGGACATTATCCTCAAATAGCTTAAAAAGCCTCCCTTCAGAGCAAGTCAGTAGCACTTTGTCTGTCACCCGCTATCAAGGCATCCTAATGGCTTGGCAGTCCTCTGAACAATTTACTGCATTTCTGCCACCAGTGGGCAGATAAGCTGCTCTGTCAAGCATTA